TTGTCGAAAAAACTTTTAATGACAAACATTTCCTCAAGTCTGCCAAAAATCAGAACAAATATAATCTGAAAAATCGAAAGTTTGCTTTAGCTTTGATTTTAAAAGTTCCAAATATTCCCTTTAAATCTTTATACATTTCTGAAGTAAAATTTTTTTGATTGAATTCTCATGATTATTCTAATAATACAACTTTTACGTTTAACTAGACGATATATTATTACCTGAATGACTAAAATAAAACTTTTCCCGATTGTTCGTTCACGTGAACATTCATTCTAAAATTGTATTCCAACAAGTTGCAAGAATAATGAAACAGGAATTAATATAAATATAATACTTTGAGTGCCCTTTATCGCGACTCGAGAGGGTTGGCAACCCTAATGCTGTCCATTCTTGGAAAAGTATGCTTTAGGAACAACGATGATACCTGGACGTCAAGGGGGCAAAGCCGGGGATGAAGAAGTGGAGTCTAGGAAAGGGCACCATGTTCACAGCGAGCTTCCTCAGGTCAGCGTTCAATTGACCCGGGAACCTGAGGCACGTGGTGACGCCGCTCAGCGTCGCGCTCACCAGATGGTTCAAATCGCCATAAGTCGGCGTGGTTAGCTTCAACGTGCGGAAGCAAATATCGTAAAGTGCTTCGTTGTCGATGCAGTAAGACTCGTCCGTGTTTTCGACCAGCTGATGCACCGATAGGGTGCAATTGTACGGCTCCACCACAGTGTCAGACACCTGACCATAGAATATTGTCAGGAGAAACGTATCGAAGCTACGCCGAAAAATAAAGACAATCTTTCCGAAAGAAAAAAGCGTATTTTATTATTATACTGCGGATCTTTATGTAAAATAAAAATTGTCTGCATCTGTTACAAACAAGCCGGAAACGCCGGAAAATAAAGACAATCTTTCCGAAAGAAACAAGCGTAATTTATTATTAGACTGCGGTTATTTATGCAAAATAAAAATTGTCTGCATCTGTTACAAACAAGCCGGAAACGCCGGAAAATAAAGACAATCTTTCCGAAAGAAACAAGCGTAATTTATTATTAGACTGCGGTTATTTATGCAAAATAAAAATTGTCTGCATCTGTTACAAACAAGCCGGAAACGCCGGAAAATAAAGACAATCTTTCCGAAAGAAACAAGCGTAATTTATTATTAGACTGCGGTTATTTATGCAAAATAAAAATTGTCTGCATCTGTTACAAACAAGCCGGAAACGCCGGAAAATAAAGACAATCTTTCCGAAAGAAACAAGCGTAATTTATTATTAGACTGCGGTTATTTATGCAAAATAAAAATTGTCTGCATCTGTTACAAACAAGCCGGAAACGCCGGAAAATAAAGACAATCTTTCCGAAAGAAACAAGCGTAATTTATTATTAGACTGCGGTTATTTATGCAAAATAAAAATTGTCTGCATCTGTTACAAACAAGCCGGAAACGCCGGAAAATAAAGACAATCTTTCCGAAAGAAACAAGCGTAATTTATTATTAGACTGCGGTTATTTATGCAAAATAAAAATTGTCTGCATCTGTTACAAACAAGCCGGAAACGCCGGAAAATAAAGACAATCTTTCCGAAAGAAACAAGCGTAATTTATTATTAGACTGCGGTTATTTATGCAAAATAAAAATTGTCTGCATCTGTTACAAACAAGCCGGAAACGCCGGAAAATAAAGACAATCTTTCCGAAAGAAACAAGCGTAATTTATTATTAGACTGCGGTTATTTATGCAAAATAAAAATTGTCTGCATCTGTTACAAACAAGCCGGAAACGCCGGAAAATAAAGACAATCTTTCCGAAAGAAACAAGCGTAATTTATTATTAGACTGCGGTTATTTATGCAAAATAAAAATTGTCTGCATCTGTTACAAACAAGCCGGAAACGCCGGAAAATAAAGACAATCTTTCCGAAAGAAACAAGCGTAATTTATTATTAGACTGCGGTTATTTATGCAAAATAAAAATTGTCTGCATCTGTTACAAACAAGCCGGAAACGCCGGAAAATAAAGACAATCTTTCCGAAAGAAACAAGCGTAATTTATTATTAGACTGCGGTTATTTATGCAAAATAAAAATTGTCTGCATCTGTTACAAACAAGCCGGAAACGCCGGAAAATAAAGACAATCTTTCCGAAAGAAACAAGCGTAATTTATTATTAGACTGCGGTTATTTATGCAAAATAAAAATTGTCTGCATCTGTTACAAACAAGCCGGAAACGCCGGAAAATAAAGACAATCTTTCCGAAAGAAACAAGCGTAATTTATTATTAGACTGCGGTTATTTATGCAAAATAAAAATTGTCTGCATCTGTTACAAACAAGCCGGAAACGCCGGAAAATAAAGACAATCTTTCCGAAAGAAACAAGCGTAATTTATTATTAGACTGCGGTTATTTATGCAAAATAAAAATTGTCTGCATCTGTTACAAACAAGCCGGAAACGCCGGAAAATAAAGACAATCTTTCCGAAAGAAACAAGCGTAATTTATTATTAGACTGCGGTTATTTATGCAAAATAAAAATTGTCTGCATCTGTTACAAACAAGCCGGAAACGCCGGAAAATAAAGACAATCTTTCCGAAAGAAACAAGCGTAATTTATTATTAGACTGCGGTTATTTATGCAAAATAAAAATTGTCTGCATCTGTTACAAACAAGCCGGAAACGCCGGAAAATAAAGACAATCTTTCCGAAAGAAACAAGCGTAATTTATTATTAGACTGCGGTTATTTATGCAAAATAAAAATTGTCTGCATCTGTTACAAACAAGCCGGAAACGCCGGAAAATAAAGACAATCTTTCCGAAAGAAACAAGCGTAATTTATTATTAGACTGCGGTTATTTATGCAAAATAAAAATTGTCTGCATCTGTTACAAACAAGCCGGAAACGCCGGAAAATAAAGACAATCTTTCCGAAAGAAACAAGCGTAATTTATTATTAGACTGCGGTTATTTATGCAAAATAAAAATTGTCTGCATCTGTTACAAACAAGCCGGAAACGCCGGAAAATAAAGACAATCTTTCCGAAAGAAACAAGCGTAATTTATTATTAGACTGCGGTTATTTATGCAAAATAAAAATTGTCTGCATCTGTTACAAACAAGCCGGAAACGCCGGAAAATAAAGACAATCTTTCCGAAAGAAACAAGCGTAATTTATTATTAGACTGCGGTTATTTATGCAAAATAAAAATTGTCTGCATCTGTTACAAACAAGCCGGAAACGCCGGAAAATAAAGACAATCTTTCCGAAAGAAACAAGCGTAATTTATTATTAGACTGCGGTTATTTATGCAAAATAAAAATTGTCTGCATCTGTTACAAACAAGCCGGAAACGCCGGAAAATAAAGACAATCTTTCCGAAAGAAACAAGCGTATTTTATTATTATACTGCGGATCTTTATGCAAAATAAAAATTGCATCCGTTACAAACAACAGCAATCACTTTGGAATTTCTTTCTTCCTTTAATTATTTTAATAGAACGAAAATAATATATCGACACTTTTCTATTCCTTTAAACTTTCTGCCGTTTCGAATTGCATCTATCCCCATTTCTGCCATAAATGCAAAAAATCCGCAATCTACTTATTATTAGACCGATGATTTTATGCATTTATTTATGCAAATATTTACCAGCTGAAATACTATGTAACGAAGACGTAAAAAGAATTTAAATGTGTTTTCACATTTCCTTTAATTTATTGAAGTTATTAAGAGAAGAAATATATTTTTATTTAACTTCTGTTCTTCACGATTCGTTAAGAAATTTATTATTTTAAAGATCCGCAGTTTATTTGTTATTAGACTGCGGGTTTTTCATGTAATTTACGACGAAAGTGAGTAGGTGGAATACAAAACGGTAAGCAATTAATTATTTTCATCGGTAAAAATTGTTATATAATGTTCCGAGTTAATGTTTACATGATCGAATTTGTTTATATTATAAGAATGGTTAAAACTGTAACTGTTATATGTGTGTCACGAGCAGACTGCGGATTGTTATGCAAAATAAAAACTGTCTCGGTCAATTCCAAGAAATAGAAACTAAATAAAAAATTCTTTGTTTCTTTAATCATTTCGATGGATTTTAAATAATGCATCGACATTTTTCAATTACTACAATCTTTCTGTTACTTTAACTTGCAACTTACTCAATTTTACTATAAATGCACATATTTCACATTCATAAACGATGGTGAGTCACCTAACGTTTACACCTCAAATATCTTTGTTGTTTTTGAAGATGCGCCAGATGTATTAAGGACAAAGTTGAATGGTTCAATGGGGCTCACACGATGCCATAAAAATATTTGCTTTTACGTTATTTTTTTGAAGTATCAGATTCCTTCATTTCGTTAAACGGGACCACCTCTTTTTGAGCACGTGCGATAATAGTTTCTTTCATTAGGAATTAGGTGACTATAATTATTCAAAGTCACTCAGAGTCACGGTCAGGGAGAACGTATAAGGTTTAAACAATCAATAACACTGAAGGTTATGCTTTTTATATTTTAAATCTTATTTTCTTCCGTGAACATGAATGACCTTGAATAACTATAGCCATTGAATTCCAACTGAAAGGGACTGCATCACCGTATGCATTTAACAGCTGGGTTCATGGAACACTAAAACCAGCTATTTTATATTCCTTCGTAAAAATAACAAGCATATGTTTATTCAGATTTTTAATCATTTTTATCATGATATATGTGCCAAATGAAATCAATTTATAAATTTTCCAAGCATGTATCTGTACAATTTCAATAATCATAAATTTAAATATTCAGATTGCGTCATTTTGACGCGTTTTGTAAACCTAATTAAACACTTAAATTACCGGATATTAACTCATAAAAATTCGACACTGTGATCGAAATGTGTCTAAAGAGAAGCTTGATAATATTCTTTTAAATAATAATTTCTAAAAAACTTGTTACATTGTGTTAATCTAACTAGTTTTATAGATTATGGATGAGATTATTGTAATTCTCGAACAATTTTTTTAGACATTCTTAACTGTTGATCTTCGATTTCAACAGAATTATTAAAAAACTGCCGGTAGATAAAGTCTCAAAAGGGAGTTCGATCGTTGGAAGTAGAAGATGACTTTGATATCTCCAAATAAAATAATATGAAAACAAATATTTTTGTAGCATCGTGTGAACCTTTCCATGCTTGTCTTTAACACATTTGATCTCAAGGCCAGGAAAAAATAGATTTCTGAAGTAGTAAATTGACTACATATAAATATTTGTATCTTGTAAATGGCAGATAAACTCTTTTTGAAACAGTAATTACATATGAATATTATATTAGTTAAATATATTTGTAAATGCTATTTCCATATATAACTACTATTTCAAGGAAAGTTCATATTTCAAATTCTGTATTAAATACAAATAAAAATCTACGCAAAAAAACGCAATAACTTTTTTCAAACCGGACTAAGTGACCTGAATTTTTTTCTTAGATGATAGCGAGACTAGTCTACTAGACCAAAATGCTTTTCTTAAATTTTGCCATTACTTGGCATTCCATTCATTACAAAAAGAATAAAAACTCTCGTCTTTAAGTTGTTTATCTGAGTTGTAAATCTCGGTAAAATATCGTAAGCGGTTCACGTTGCTGTGAGTTACAACAAATTAAAGATAGTAAAAATCGCAGTTTTATCACGATTTTAAAAAACTGGCAGAAATCTGCAATTTTTTAAATCTTTCAACGTCTGTAGCTCGACCCTGGGTTAACGATTTCGATTACATTTTCAGATAGAAAAGTCTTCTACTTTTTGTTGTCATCCTAAGTATGTAATAGCAAGATTTAAAAAAAGGCATTTCAGTCATCATCTAGAGTAGATTAGTCCCTCTATCATCTAAAAAAAAATTCATATCATTTAATTGAGTTTTAAAAAAGTTATTACGTTTTAAAAAGTGTCCAAACACTTCTGTGGGCCACTGTATGTTCCTTCAGCCCTGCATTTGACAATACATTTAAAAACAACAAAGATATATTTCAGTTGCAAACGTGAGGCGAGTCACCCTATATAGCTATTGTATCGTCAGAAGCTTTTTAATCGACGGATGAAAGGAATACCTTGGGAGACGGAACTACACTGAAGGTCATCATAATCCTATCCGGGTACTCCTCGCGTATTTTTGAGATCAACAGCGTGCCCATGCCGGCACCGGTCCCGCCGCCGAGGGAATGGGTCAGCTGGAAGCCTTGCAGACAGTCGCAGCTCTCCGCTTCTTTGCGCACAACGTCCAGGACGGAGTCGACCAGCTCGGCTCCTTCGGTGTAGTGCCCTTTTGCCCAGTTGTTCCCGGCACCGCTCTGGCCGAAAACGAAATTGTCGGGCCGGAAAATCTGACCAAATGGTCCGGATCGGACCGCGTCCATGGTGCCGGGCTCCAGGTCGACGAGGATCGCCCTGGGCACGTATTTTCCTCCGGAAGCCTCGTTATAATAGACATTGATGCGCTCCAGCTGAAGATCGGAGTCGCCGTGGTAGGTTCCGGTCGGATCGATTCCGTGCTCGTCGGAGATCACCTCCCAAAACTAATCCAGGATCGTCGAAATCGGTTAGTTTGCGGAGGAACATTGTAACAGAGTTAGGCGTTACTTGGATAAAAAATTATTCAAACAACGATTCGAATAAAGACGATGTTTTTATTCGACGAGTATCGAGTAAATGATTTCATTCGACGAGAATTTACCCGATGAATAAAGGTACTTTTCTTGCTCGAAGCGCATTTATTCGCAGCGTCGAATAAAATGTTCACCTTTTATCTGTATCTTTATTCGAAGGCTTCGAACAAATGTTCGAATAACTTTTGCCGGTCGAGCGTCGAGCCTCGAACGTCGAAGAGTCAGCGAATCACCGAAGGTATACAATTTAAGCAGACGGGGAACCAAGCACCAATGAAAATTTGAACTTTTACATTTTTTAATATGCTTTCATAAAAGTATTACGAGTGAATTGAAGAGCTTTTCGCGATTAAAATGAGTCCAAACTCGAATGTAATCGAACATTTTTTATCGATATGTAATGTTATGATAAAAATTGTAATGTTATTAAAGATAGTCCGAATAATGACATGTTCGGGCTCATTTTTATCAGGATAATCTCTACAATCTATTCGCAATAAAAATATTGTTCATATTAAAGATATAAAAATTAAAATTGTCAACGATGTTTCATTTTCTATCTGTTTACATTGTATGCCTTTAATCAGCCGCTGGTTCTATGATGTTCGAGGCTCGACGCTCGGCAACGCGTTTATTTTAGCTAGCAAAAGTTATTCGAAGCTTTAAGTATTTCAAGCTAAAATTTTATTCGACGCTACGAATAAGTGCGCTACGAATAAAAAAGATATCATTATTCGTCGGATAAATTCTCGTTCAATGAAATTATTAGGTCTACCGGAAAGTTCTGTCCGATAGTGTCACTTCAAGTTTCAATCCATATGTGTTCCGTTCTCGTAGAACGTTTCATGCCAGTACAACTATCCGCATTTTTCAACCCATAAAACAAGCAATCAGACACTCCACAGCACATCTGCGCCGCACGAAAGAACAAATTCCGTCGAGTTTTCGTCGACCAGGTTTACGACACGGATTCGACAATAGAATAAAGACCTTTTTTACGTCTGGCGACCATCCGGCCTCCAAAACTAATTTTCGGCTATTCCACCAACCATAACGTGTCGTAAACCTAGGATTTCCGAAGGGTCATCTCGAGCCGAGTGCGTAACACGGTACTCGAGGCTACCGTGAGTTGACCTGGAGGAATTTCCGTTGTGTCGTCGAAGGCGGCGGAAACCCTTCGACCGTGTCATAAAACAATCACGTCCTCTCCGAGACCAGTCGCTCTCGGGGAGTTGCTAAAATTTAAAAGGGCACTGATTGGACAAACATAA